GGGAATGCTGTGCACACCCATTCCCGGGAATGCTGGGCACCCCTCACTCCTGGGAATGCTGCCGCTGCTCCCGCTGCGGTTCTGGGTTCGTTCTGTAGGTGGAAGTGTTGCAGAGCCCAGCTGAGCATTCCCAGCTGAGCATTCCCAGCTGAGCATTCCCGGGCTCTGCTGGAGCCCAGCACAGCAACCCCCAGGAGAGCTGGCAGGGAGGGGACGGGGTCCTGCCCCATGCAGGGGGTCAGACACTCAGCTGGCACCCGAATTCCAGCTGTGGGGATGGATGGGAAGCCTCGAGGGGTGATGTCACCCACCAGCCACGTGAGATACCCCAGAGCTGAGCAGTGACAGCCCATGGAACACTCCCTGTGCTGGGCTGTGCCAGCCGAGGGGGTCAGCCTGAATTACCCCCAAGGAGGGTTACAGTGGGGTCACTCAGCACAGCTGAGCTCCCCTGAGGGCCTGGCACAAGTTTCCCAGGGAAGCTGTGGCTGCCTCATCCCAGGAAGTGTCCAAGGCCAGGTTGGACTGGGCTTGGAGCAACCTGGGATAGTGGAAGGTGTGTGGACAGGACCTGCCCCTCCTCCCTCCACCAGCCCCGTGGAACAGCTCCCAAGGGCTGTGATTTCTGTCAAGGAAATCATTTCCCAGCAGCTACTGCAGAGAGAGCCCCGGGAAATACTCCAGGGATTGACCAGAGCTGTTGGCCTGGTCCTGCTGTTCCCCCAGAGCTCTGAGAGCCGTGGGAAGGATGATAACTGAGTCTCCAGGGGCCTTACCCACCCTGCTGGGGAAGGGTTTCTGTGCCCCAGTGAACTCCAGGTGAGTGGAGCAGCGGTTTAGATCCCACTGAGGCAGTTGCAGGTCCTGGGCAGCTCCTGGTGAGTGCCCTGTGCTGAGAAAGGAGCCAAGAGGGGAAATCAACGGCAAAAGGATCTCAACCACGTGAATCCACTGCAGGGCTCTCACCGGTTCAAACACACCCATCCACTGATTGCTGCATCTTCCCAAAATACCTTCCTGCCTGGGGACTGGTGTGGGGTGACCAGGAGCTGCCACCCGGGTTGGAGTGATTTGGGGGCTGGGAAGCCGAGGCTTTGTTCAGAAGCTACAGGCTTTTCTGTGCCACGACATCTCCGAAAAACAAACACCCTCAGCATCTCCAGTCAGCTGGAGATGGCTCAGAATTCCCCCTCGTGCTGAGGAGACACCTGCTCTGGTGACACATCGTGGAGAGGGAGGGCTGGGGCTGTCGCTGCCGCTCCTTTCGCGGGAATAAATCACCCCCTCTCTGCACCGGGAACATCCTCCCTCCCTCCCTCCCTCCCTCCTGCTCCGGGCCCCGGGCCAGCATTCCCAGCGCCCGGTGTTTGTATCCACACGATGTTCTGGACGAGCAGGACACGCGGGATGAGAGCACAGTAGTCGTTTGCCATCAAGGAAACCGCAAGCAACAAACAGAGATGTTATCTCTGACATCTGGTTCTGGTTTGGGGAGATCTGTCTGCCCGTGTTAATGGGATGGCTCGCGGCTGTTTTTGTTTTAGGACTCCTCGTGGGTTCCCTTGGCAACAGCGAAGCCAACACGGGGATAACAGCCTGGGAACACAAAGGCAGCACTGACACCCTTCCCCTCAGCAGCCAAGGACAAGAGCTGGTGACAGTGACCTTGGGACAGGCCAGCTCCATGGGAAGGTGTCCCCAGCCAACCCTTCAGCACCCCAGGTAAGAGATGTTAAGCAGCTGTGCTGGGGGGTTCCTGGGATAACAGCCCCCCAAAGCACATCCAAGTGCCTCCAGTTGAACCCTGCCCACGGGTGCTGAGCCTCCCCTGGGAGCAGCACTGGGCACAGGATAAAACCCAGGAGTTTGCTGATTACAAGACCAAGATGTGTTACTTTAAACAAAATCCCCAAAACAGACCCTGGGCTTTGGGTGAGAGGTGCCAACCCCTGTCCTGTGCCACAGAATCCTTGAATCCCAGACTGGTTTGTGTTGGAAGAGTTAAAGATCATCCAGTCCCACCTCCTGCCATGGGCAGGGACACCTTCCACTCGCCCAGGATGCTCCAAGCCCCATCCAACCTGGCCTTGGACACTTCCAGGGATGGGGCAGCCACAGTTTCTCTGTGTCCTGCTCACGCTCTCGGGGTTATGGTGATCTCGGGGTTTAAGGTCCAGGAATTGTTTTCCCTGGGTCGGGCACACCTGTCACTCCTCCCCATGGACTCTTTCCCTGGACATGGCTCCAGCAGGTTTGTAACATCCCTGCCCAAAGGGAGCCAGAGGAAAGGATTTCTCTGAATGTCTCTGAATATTAATTCATAGAAAATCCTGGTCTTGAGAGCCAACTTTTATCCAGGGATCAGAAATCCAAGTTCTCCCCCAGTGCAGCTTGGAGCAGATGAATTAATGCCTCGTTCAGCTCCAGTTACAGCTTCCAACCCCCTCCGGGGAGGTGCTGGTGTTATATTTAGAAGGAATCTACAAAAACAACCCCCCAAAAAGACATCAGCAAACAGAAGGAAGTTGGCAACAACTTCTGAGGCAAAGCTGCTACTTGGTTGCCCCTGTCTGGCCCTTCCCGGACAGTCTCAGCTGTTCCCGAGGAGCCTTTTCTGGGTCCTTTTCCCCCAAAGGCACACGTGGGTCTTTGTTGGGAACTTGCCGGTGATTGAAGTGACTCCTCGCTCCTGGTAACTCCAAACAAACACTGCGGCTCGTGCAGCACTGCCCGTGCTCAGGAAGCAGCTGGAGGGATGGAGGGAAGAGGCTGGGATGGATTCCCACAAAAGTGACTCACGGGAACACGTCCAGGAGCGGGGTCAGCGCCGGTTCCCGGGGAGGTTCCTCAGACATCTCCCCCTGCAGCTCCATCCCTGGAACCCAAACACAGCCTGGGGGGGGCCTCACCCCACCTTCTGCCAAGGAAAAGCTGCTCATCCATGGGCATGGGAAAAGGGGAGTAAAGGGAGAGCAGCGCACGGGTTACGGGGCCTGGAGGGACAGGACACAGGGAATGGGTTCCCACTGCCAGAGGGCAGGGTCAGGTGGGATACTGGGAAGGAATTCCTGGCTGTGAGGGAGGTGAGGCCCTGGCACAGGTTGCCCAGAGAAGCTGTGGCTGCCCCTGGATCCCTGGAAGTGTCCAAGAGCAGGCTGGATGGGGCTTGGACCAGTCTGGGATAGGGGAAGGTGCCCCTGCCTGTGGAATGAGATGAGCTTTAAGGTCCCTCCAACCCAAACCAGTCCGTGACTCTGCAGTTCTATGAACTTCAAAATACATTAAATGTGTTTTGGGAATAGGAGGATCCCCAAAAGAAACTGTTCCCTGTAAATTTCTGGGTTGGAGGAAGCAGCAAGCCCAGGTTTTAGAGGCAAAAAGGACTCATTGTTCTGACAGCTGGAAATCAACTGATTTTTAGAAGATATAAAAATGTGCTCAGAGCTTATCGTGAGCTGGGAGCAGCTCACAGGGCAATGCCAGATGCTCCTTTTTCCACCACACAAATTTTATTTCTGGTGTCAAAATCTCTCCAATATTAATCTCTGGCAGGGCCGTTTTCATTATCCCATCCCAATTCATTTGTGCTCTGCTGGGAGGATGAAAGCCCCACATTAGTGCTCAGCCTATTAATTTATAGTTTTCTCCCTGTTGCAGCTGCTTTTGGAGTTTATTCTTCCTCCAGCAGGACACACTGAACCACCTGTAACCAGCAAAGATGAAATCCAACATTGGATTTCCATCATGTAAATAAGCCCCCATTAAAAAAAAAATAAAATTAAAGGGAGCGTCTCAGAAATTTTCCCAATTTCATCCTTCTGCTCTTTTTTTCAGTATTAAAAACACACAGTGCAAAGGAAGTCAGTCTGTCTTTTATTCTGGTTAATATATTTTAATGATATGTGGCATCAACTGGCTCCAGTTTCTATTTCATGCACTTTTGATGCTGCTGAGGAAAATTAAGATGCTTTTTTTCCTGCAGTCTAATTTCTTCCTTTGTGGAAAAACTCCACCTGCAAGGCACAGGCTGGATCCCAGATCCTACAACACCTCAGAGCAAGGGCTCTTCGTCATCTTTAGTCCACGAGGCACATCAGCACTTTGGTTTGTGATTTCCCAGTGGGAATGAAAGCTGGACACACATGGGAAGCACATCTATGGTAAGTGATAATCTAATTTCCTACTGAAGGAGCAGCAGGACCAGCCATGGGCTGGACTCTTTCTGTGGAGAACATTAAATTCTGGGCAACTTTCAGTGGAAAATTGCCCCACCATGAGGCTCTGACTGACTGCTTGAAATCCCACTGCTCCCTCTTGTCCTGGCACTTGTTATCTGGGAGAAGAGACTGATCCCACCCGGCTCCACCCTCCTGGGAGCTTTACTAGGGGCAAGTTTGGCCCCAAAGGTTTGGCCAAGCCATAGGTGAGGTTTGGTGCCACAGGGAGCCCCAAACCAGCACCACTGACCCTGCCCAGAGGAACCAGCCCTGGCACGGTGGGATTAACCCTTCAGGGAAAGGTTTAGGGCTGGAGGAACTCCTGTTCCACATCAGGCAACAGCACCAGCTCTGACAGGGGCAAAGAGGAGCCTTTCCATCAGGGAAGGACACGACACCCTGGAGCCATGGGATGTTTTCTCCAAGGGAAGGGCTGGAATGCTGCCATGGCCCCGGGGGCAGATCTGTTCCAAGCCTGGAGATTTGTTTAGTGCTCCCTGGTGCCAGGAGTCCTGGAGTGCAAGGTCTCTGACACCACTCCTGTGAGAAATATTCCCTGCAGGAAGCTCCATTTCCTAAAAATCCAGTGCTGTGATGAGGTGTCCACGTGCTTGGGGCACTTTGTACTGCTGCCTTTAACCCCGGGACAAAACCAGCCTGGAAACTCTCCCTGCCCTGGAGACATTCCTGGAGCTGGTTTCACAGGCCAGTCCAAGAGCTTTCCTGACATTTCCGTATTTTGCTCATTGCTGAGCAGCAGGAGCTCTGGATTCCTGGGAGGGAGGGGGAGAAGGGAAATATTTGTTCTCCACTTGGTTTGGATCCAGGGTTCAGACCTTCCCTCATGTTCCAAACGTTGTCCTGTGTCTCTCTCCTCACTTTCTGTGCTGTTCCTCTCTGGCCACACAGACTTTACTACGGCTGCTGCCACAGGACAGAAACAGGGAGCTGGTGGAAGAGAGCCTGGATTTTAAATCATGGAATCACAGACTGGCTTGGGCTGGAAGGAGCTTAAAACTCATCTCATTCCACCCCTTGCCATGGGCAAGGACACCTTCCACTAGCCCAGGTTGCTCCAACCCCCATCCAACCTGGATCCTATGAGGATTGGCCATCATTCCCTGCCCATTGGCAGGGAGTTGGAACTGGATGAGCTTTAAGGTCCCTTCCAACCCAGACCTTCTGGGATTCCATGGTTTTAATTCCACCTCTGAAGATGTGCCCCTCTGGGAGAGACTCTTCTGCTACTTTTCTACTCTTGAAACATAAACAGCATTTCATTACACGATTAATAAACCCGTGGACAAACCAACATTATTGCAACAGAAATAAATAAAAATTTAACTGAATTTCAAGTGGTAGAAATGGATGGATTGCACTGGCAAAGATTTGCCCCCGGTGTCCACAAGCCAAGGGTCCTTTGAAGGCCTGGATGGTTTCCCAGGCTGTGGAGGTGTCATAGCTGGCTGGGCCGGCGGGTTATCCCGGGAATGCTCCTGCTCCTGGGCTCGGGGAGCGAGGCCGCCCTTCCCCGGGGGGCGTGGGGAGGGCTGGGCCCCGCCGATCCCAATCCCGATCCCAATCCCGGGCTGTGCCGGCCGGCGGCGGCTCCCTTGGCGGCTCTGGGCATTCCCAGGGCTCCGGAGAGCCGCAGGTCCCTGGTGGGAGCGGGGCCGGGCCGGGAGCGGGGCCAGGGCGGCCCCGGGAAGGTCCCGCTGAGCCTCCGCAGCTCCAGCACCTGCTCGCGGGCCCTGCTGAGCGCGGCCGTGAGCCCGCAGCGCTCCTCGCACTCCCGCCGCACCGTCTCCTGGAGCAGGGAATTCTGCAACACAAACACACGCTTGGCACGGGCTCGGGGCACGTGGAATGTGTCCCGATCCCCTCCTGCCCTCCCGGGGCACTCCCGGGGCACTCCTGGGACACGGCAGCGCTTCCAGCCCAGCCGCTCCCTCGGGAGTCGCTGGGAAACCTGAGGGAAGTGCTCAGGAGCCATCCCTGCTCTGCTGCCCGGCTGGGAGCTGGGAATGCTGCTCCTGGGAAGGTTCAGTGCCACTGCACCACCTCCTTCTGACCCCTTCCTACATAACCCTCCGAGCTGTGTGGAATCATGGAATCCCTCGGGCTGGAAAGGCCACCGAGTCCAACCGCTCTGCCAAGGCCACCCCTGATCCATGTCCCCATCCCAGGGCAGGGCAGGACTGACAGACCCATTGCCAACATCCCTCCAATTCACCCACACTGTTCCTGAACCTTTTCCAAGGAAGACATAAATACCAACCCCGGCCCTAATTCATTTTGAAGAGTTTAATTTTCGCTGTTTCCCAATTTTTTTCTGCCACTGAATTGCTTTGGACATTCCAGCCTAATCTTATCTGCAGTCCCTGACTGCACATTTCTCATGGAGCAGCACAGCTCTCTCCTCCCTTCCCATCCTATTCCAAGCATTCAGCAAATGCTTGAGGTCAGAATATCCATCACTCCAGCTCCCCTTTGCAGTGGGGTCATTTCCATGCATTCCTGTGTCAGGGAACGTGGCTGGGCTGGGGGGAGGTGGGACACAGTTCAAAGAGTGGGAAGTGAGAAATGTCCATGACTTCCACTCCAAAAACATGAGGAATTCTTTGTTGTTCACTCATGTTTGTGTAGCATAACTGAGGCTACAGGCTGAGAAAGAAATGTCCTGCAGGACTTGAAAAATATAAATATTGTTCAATAAAACACAATAAACCCCCAGTTTAAGTGTTTGCTGAATTAAAACTTCCTGTATTTAGTAATCTACTGTATTTATGAAATTATCAAGGTCTTGCTCTAGGAATCTTTGCACTTCAATGGGTTTTCTGGTCTGAAATACAGACACTTTGAATGATGTTAGAAATCACATGTCTCCAAGTAAAAATAGCCAGGCATTTCCTGGGTCATGTTCCTACCTCCTCCTGGACTTGACTCAAGCTGTGAATCAGCTGTGTCCTCTCCTGGGTTAATTTTTCCAGTTCATCTGACTTGTGCTTCATTTCTTTCCTCAGTTTATCCAGAAATGATTCATTGTTGTTCTTTTCCATCGTCAGCTGAAATTCAAGTTCACTGATCAGTCTTTTAAGGCTCTGAATTTCTTTCTCCTTGTCTCCATCTTTCTCTGCAAGTTTCATCTGGGCATCCTGGAGTTTCTTCTCGAGGATTTCTGTCTCCATCCTTAAGCTCTTGGTGGCACTGGATATTAAACCTGGTATCTGCACGAGATCAGACAAAAACTGCATTCACCTACAGTCAGTATTTTTGTACAGAGAGAATTAACATCAGACAAATGTTGACTTGAGCAAAAAACCAACAAATTCAAACACGTGTTCTCAGAGAGAAAAAAATTGCTTTGAATTTACAGAATGCCCTCAGAGGGTGTCAGAGAGCTGTAATTAATCAACACTGGGAACAGAGAGATTAATTAGTATGTTCAAGACCAAACAGAGAAATTGAGGTAAAAATGGGAAAATTTCAAGTCAGTGTTTCTTCAGGGTCTTAAAATCACAACCAAATATTTGTCAAGTGAACAAAGGCAAAGTGTTCTTTTCATCTCTAAAGCATCATGCAACGCCACAACTTTTAAATAATGGTGTAATTTCATCAAATTCCTTTTTCCTCAGATTTCTCAAGAATTGTATCAAATCCTTTGAAAAGGTTATAGATAAAATTGTTGAATTTCTACATAAAACTAAAAATCTGGAGCTCTGGGGAGCTGGGAATGGCCAACCCCATGTGGTGCCACCTCCAGCAGAGCCCAGAAGGTGGGAACTGGCCCTTTGGGAAGGGAAAAACCACGTGGACGGGTTTGTGGGAGCTCATCATAGTCTGAAACAGTCCCAAGGTTTTGCAAAATGATGATGTCAAGATTGAAAACTGAAATCCAGGGACACAGATGGGTAGAGAAAATACGACAATAAAGAACTTCCACACCATTTCACTTGAACTGGAATAGTTATTTTTTGCCTGTTCCATTAAAAAAAAAAAAAATATAGGTCATATATTAAGGGGAAAAATACTGTATCATCTAGACAGAGGATGACACATAAAGGGGGGTTTTATTCCTTCCCATTCCGGTTTTCAACGGTTTTATCTGATCTGCTGCCACGGGAGTTTTCTCCTGAGCATTCCACACCTTCTTCTGCAGCTCCTCATGGTCTCGCTGGTACTTTGTGATCAGCTCCTGCTGTTTCTGCCTCTCCAGGTCCAGCTCCACCCTGGCCTCCTCCTTGACCTTCAGAATTGCCTCTTTCTGCCGAGCCTCTCCTTTGGCCAGATCCTTTTCCAGCTGGGGAACGACAGGGTTTCAGTCACAGGGAGCAGCCCAACTTCAAACATATTCCCTTTCCAACAGGGCCTTGAGGGAAGTGATGGGGAATTTGGCAGCCTGAGATTCTGGGCACTGAACAAACACTTCCGACCCACTGGAGCCTGGCCAGGGAATGCTCCCGCTGCCGCCGGACGGCTCCTGCTCCAGAGCTCACTGAGCTCACAGCCCAGGAGTCTCCAGAGGCTCTGGATCCCTAAATTTAGGCAGCTGGACTTCACACTGAATCACTATGAACACACTGAATTACAAAGCCCTTGGCTGGGTCCTGAACCAGATGATCCTGCTGGAAGGGTTTGCTCTGGAGGTGAAACTCTGCCGGCACCAGTTCCAAAGGCAGCAAAATGACACAGCCACAAAGTCACGGAATGGGGTGGGTCAGGAGGGACTTTAAAGCTTGGAAATACCAGAAATCCAGGGAAAGGAGCATCAGAGGAACCTCCCCAGAGCCTCTCAGACACCTGTGCTGTGCCAATGGGTCACTGCCCAGTCGAGGCTCAAAAAATGAAGAAGCCAAAGTGAACGAGTTCCAAATTCTGGGTAAAACATCCCAGCCCTGAAAGCATCTCAAATAATTAACATCAGAAACTCAAACCTGAAAGTTCAGCCATCATTTCCTGAATAGAAGAGCCTGGCTTCTGGAGGAAATACTGAAGGCTGTACTTAGGAAAATACTTTTCCTGACCCAGGATGTTAATGTTCTATTTGTGCAGGCTGGGTTCTAATGGATTTAATTGCACCAGGCTGAGAGGCACGTTAAGTGCACAACTCCAACCCAATTACTTCAAATTATTAAAAGAAGAAAAGCCCAGAATGAGCTTAATTACAATTATCTTAATTTCACATACTAATTATGAGCAAAAGTATAACAAATCTCCCTAACTGTTTTCTCTGGAGGGAAAAGATAAACGGGAAATATTTTCATTATTTTTTAAAATAAATATAGAGGCAATTATGGGGTGGAATAGGTGCAAATTCCCCACTAAGGTTTAGCTTAAAATTGGTATATTTTTAAGATCCTCAAAGCAGACTCTTCCTCTTCTTCTCCTTCTCCTCCTTCTTCTTGTTATTGTTATTATTTTAATGATATAATATATTAGTGTTATTACTATACTAATGATAATAACAATAAATGAAAACAATTCCTGGTTTATCTGTATTTTAAACAGAAATCTTGCCCACTTGCTGCTCCCAATGGCACAGTGACCCAAACCAAACACTGTCCCTTTATCACGTTGTTGATTTTTTGGTTGCTGAGCACATTTTTGGAGCCCTTCCCTGTGCTGCATTTTAATGATCCCAAAGCTGTAATTGCTCCCTCTCTCCCTCCCACCAATCTTTATCTGGTTCCCATGTCAGGCTGAACAACACTCTGTGATTATGGAGCCAGTGTGATCTCCTTCCCAAATTACACCCTGTGACACGGAGGTGAAGATGTTTCCAAAGGGATGGAACTGATCTTAATTGCTACCAGTCCCCAGATCTTCCAGAGACTCAGTAAAGCCTTCAGACACTCATCACCCACTGAAGCAAAAAATACAGTCACTTCAGTCACCAATTATGTCAGGATTAAACCAGACAAGTCAGAATTATTGTTCAACTCTGCTTTTAAATTTTCCTTCACATATAAATATATATATTTTTTAATTTCCTGTGTTCGGTTTGGGGTTTTTTGGTGCTCGTGGCAGAAGCTGCAGATGAGAACACAGCTCACACAGTGGCAGCTGTTTATGGTAAACAGCTTCCCAAATCCCACTGGAGGAGACTGGCAGGAAAACTCCTTGTACAAAGGATATTGTTGACCAGCTGTGGTTGCCCCTGGATCCCTGGAAGTGTCCAAGGCCAGGTTGGACGGGGCTTGGAGCAACCTGGGATAGTGGAAAGTGTCCCTGCCCATGGCAGGGGGTGGGGCTGGATGGGCTTTAAGGTCCCTCCAACCCAAACCAGTCCATGGTTTTATGATTCTATGAACTTCAAAATACATTAAATGTGGTTTTGGAAATAGGAGGT